GATTTTGAAACAGGGGAGAAAGGAAACGATTACCTCTGCAGCACAGTTCGTCACTTAGGTTTCCACAGTCATTGATCCCATCACAGGTTTTGCTCAGAGGAACGCACTTCTTGTTGACACAGTGAAACTCGTCGTGGGAACAAGCTGAGCAGCACGATGACAGTGAAGTTAGGGTGGAAATGTCTACAGGTTCACAACTGCCCACAGAAATATTCTGCTTGTGCATTTTATTCTGTCAGCAATTTGGCCTCGCAACAGAAGGCATTCTGTGGCCCAATAATGTAAATGGAAGTATTTTTTATCGTTTTAATGGCCTTCTCATCCAACTTTCAGTGTGACCACTTATTTTCCTCCTCCAACTTGCAGTAGCTTAACAAAAGGGAACTTCATTTCTTCTAGACAAGGACCAAACCAGAAATGATCAGTTCAAACCCACTGTAAAGGATTCAGGTGATTAACATGATGGATGTTCCCCTCTTCAAGAGTCACCAAGAGTCTGAGCTCCTACTTTTGTGACATAAGAACAACCTGAGACGATTCATAGCTCTCCTAAGCAGCATCATCTCAGGCTGGTGCTTACCAGTGCCAAAGAAAACCCTCTCCAGGGACAAGAAAGCTCTTAGAACAAGGATGGGATTCCCCATGCGTCAGTGAGAAACTGAAGAGTCCTGAAACCCCGCAGAAGACATGAGCAGTCCTGCTACAGTCATGCCTGTTGGGCTACTGGGATACTGGTGTCCTAACTGGTCTGCTCATAGACAAAGGTCTAGAAAGGTTGCCCTCTGTCTCCTCACCAGTTAACCTGGGAGACACAGGACTTGTGGGATACCTTGGTACCCTTGGAAGGAGTGGGGGAACAAACAGAACCATGGGTGAAATATATTTGCTTTTGGGAAATAGCTGTAAAAATAGTTGAGGGGCAACAGTGATTTTCCCAACTCATAAACCCAACTGTCTTGACTCAAGACTGCCTCGATTGTCTCAAATTTTGCAAGGGGATTATTTTTTTAAATAGGTTTCAGTGCAGCTGTGCTGTGACTGAGAGTTCAGCAAACTGTTATTTAAAATAAACGTAACATGTAAAAAACCCAAGCAGGCATAAAACTAAATAAAAAAACCTACTGACCTCTGAGATTTTCATGGCACTGGAGGCTAACAAGTCCCTCATTGCTACCTCTTGATTTCACCTCTATGTGACATTCAGCAAGACTTGTCTCTAGGCCCCTGCAGGTTATGTGCAGACAGTGCAACGAATTTAAGGCCGATTCTGTGATGCTGGAATTGGCTTGGTAATACTCAGCACCCCTGTGAAGATACAAATCACAACAACAACAGACTATATCGTTTCACAACGGATTGCCCACTGCTTGTGTGGCTTAGAATTTATGTGACTTTCCTCAGTGTTCAGAGAATGTTGGTCGTGGCTAAGAAGAAGAGTGGAGTTCCCATGGAATGGGCGTGGGGTCAGTAGGTGTTTACTGTGGAAGAAAAAGCAAAACAAAGTGCTGATTTTTGCAGGTTGTGTAGAACCGTCCCTAAATCCACACGTAACACTACGACAGACACTGTGTGTTGTGACAGAGAGAGAAGTCTCCGTATGTAGCAAAACTTGTAAGCTCAGGTCTCTCTCTGGACACAGATGGGCCATAATTTGGCACCCAACCTGCATGGGGTCAAGTACCCTTGGCGTCCCCAAAGTATATTGAGGATGCTCAGGCCACTGCAAGGTTGGGATTACAAGGAAGCTGGGGGGGACTTTTTCCAAGGGCAGGGAGTGATAGGACAAAGGGTAACAAGTTTAAACTGAAAGCGGGGAGGTTTAGATTAGATATCAGGAAGGAATTCTTCCTGGAGGGAGTGGGGAGGCACTGGGACAGGCTGCCCAGGGGAGCTGTGGATGCCCCATCCCTGGATGTCTTCAAGGCCAGGCTGGATGAGGCTCTGAGCAACCTGGTCTAGTGGAAGGTGTCCCTGCCCATGGCAGGGGGGTTGGAACTAGATGATCTTTAAGGTCCCTTCCAACCCTAACCGTTCTATGATTCTATGATTCTATGACTAAATTAAATTAGTGGTATATGTGTAAAATTAATAGGTACAGGATGCAGAGCTGACTCCTTCTGAGGAGCTGGATGTGCAGCTCGGGTCATGGGGTCGCAGGAAAAAGAAGCTCTGTGTGGCTTCAGCTGCTCCTGGGGGACAGAGCGATCAACGGCAGAGCGGGGCAAGGGGTGAAGAAAAAAACGTGTTCTGGTCCTTGTTAGTCTGGCTGGGGCAAAAAAGTAAAACAATTATGGTTTGTGTAGCTGTAATCTGTAATAGAACACAGAAATCTGTGTTTTGGCTTTCACTCTCGGGTGTCAGTTTAAGAAGCTTTACCAGAATGTTGTAACCAATACATTGTTCCTGAGTTTTCTCTCTTAACTCGTGGCTGCCTGTGACTGGCCCATATGTAAACATCCCTACTTTTTCAGATCCCTTGCAGTTATCCAGAGATAAATTCCCCAAACTTACGTTTTAAAGCCAAGGTGCTTGCAAGCCACGTTTGCTTCATTCATCGTCCACTTGCTATCACACACAAAAAAGTCCTCCTCCTCACTCACAGGTTTTACTCGAAGGAAATTTGAATCCCCATGACCCAGAGAGATTGAAAATGTTTCTAAAAATAAGAGAAATTAAAAAGAAACCTGAATAAAATCATATTATATGGATGTATCTAATGGAAAGATGGCACGGAAATAAATCAGGGCTAATTTTGTACTGATAAACAAAGTTCATAAAAAAAAGGAATCAGAGTCTTCAGGAGGTATTCCTGATTTTTCAGAGGACTGACTTTGTGGCTGAGCCTGCCACTTTTTCTAAATGTACCAGTTTCAGGACAAAGGAGGGTTCCTACCACGTGAGAGTACCTGGAGGTCTGCTGAGGGAAGGCTGTGGCTTAAAGTGGGGTTCGTTAGAGGCCTTTTGATAACCAACTGTTCACACTTTGAGTGTGACGGCCAGATCCTGCTTCTGTGTAGCAACTCCCACAGGATTATAGCTGAGCTGCTCCCGCTGCGTTCCGTGGAGGTGGGGCTGGAGCACGGGTAGGAGCAGCGACTGCTCCTGCGAAGAGAGGCCACCCGCCTCATTTCTCCCCGTGCGGGAGAACCTACCAGCAGCAGGGTGACCTGGGCCTGTCAATCACTTTATTTTTATGAAACTAGCCATTTTCAATGATTTCTCCTTTTCTGCTTCATGTTCTTGCTAGCACAAGGAAACGAACAGAGTTTCTGAGCTGTAAATAGCAAGCGTCTCCTTGGCCACAAGTGACTGACTGCGACCTTGTGGAAGAGGAGGGGTTAATACCTGCAGACACGCATTTTCCCGTGTGCAGAAACTTGGCTTCGGGTCGCTGGCACTCGTAGCTCTTCAGGTGACAGTAAGTGTGGAAGTACTTCCCGTTGGTAGAGCAAACCGAAGAGCCGTTCTTAGGGCACTGGTAAGGGAGCTTGCAAAGGCATTTTCCCTCCACACATCGTTCCCAGGGGTGACAAAACACTTTCTCACAGGATCTGTGTGTGTACTGGTTGCTTAAGCATTCTGCTATGAGGTGCGTGTCCTGCTGGGCTGGCTGGGCAGGCTCAACCTGCTGGAGCTGGTTTCCTTCGGCATAAGAGGGTATGTTCTGCAAGGCACAAAAGAAATGCAGGGAGTGAGTCCTGCAGATCCCTTTACGGACCTCAACAAAGTTTTCCTTGATAAACCTTCTCCTGTCTCAGGAGCACAAAGGTGCCGAGTATCATTTAGGGTGTTTATTCCCTTATCTTCATCCACCTCTTGTTCTCAGTTTCTCTGATCTTTTTTGCATCGTTCGCCTGGTGTGATGGTCACCTTACTGCCCTCCCACAACCTTTACCCGTCATTCCTCAAACATCAGCCTAAGTGCTCGGCAGATTGTAAGTATTTTTGAAGCGGATGGTTTACAACACACCACGGCAATGGCATCGTAAGCAAATCAAAATAAAGACCCTTAAACACCATAATAGTTAAAAACAGAGCAACTTGGGGTTTATCTGAGGCTCTTCGATTGGCTTGGGTGGCTTTGAGTTTAAGTATCACCTGTAAATATTTATGAATGGCTTCGAAGGAAATAAAGGAACCTAAAATTAATGATTTCTTTCACTGTGTGACTGCTGAAGTCACAAGTATCCCAAAGAAACTTAAAAATGAAGTGCCTTTTTTCATCAGCTCTTTTCCTGCCTCTGTCACAGCGGTGGGTTTGCTCTGTGGTTGCTGGCCATCGCCGCACTGCAAGTATGGATTCCGACCCTCCGGCCGACTGCCTCTAGCTGAGTGTCTCTGCTCCTGCCTCTGTGCAGCTCCCCGGGCCATGGCTGGCCGAGGGCTTTTTCCTTACCAAGATCTCTGGGTAGGAAGAATGTCGAAACGTGGGAAATACATGCGGATGGCCTTTGCATAAGAATGTGAGAGGAAAGGGACTCCTCAAATGTGATTTATCAGCTTTGACTGTGTCAACTGAGTCAACGGAGATGAAGCTTAAAGTTCTTGCGAAGAAAAGGCCACGGTGAAGTCAGTGGGGATGTTGTTGGGGCAGAATTTAACCCAACAAACTCCCTCGTAAACGGTTGTATAATCTGACTAAATTCTTCCTGCTCCTCTCAGGGCAGCAGAATCCAAACTGTGAGCCAGATCCGGCTTGGTGTAACGCCCACACTGTACTAGGCCTTTCTCCCAGACAGGAACAACAAGGTGCTGACTTTTATCTATGGGTTTCTCTGGAAAACTCGGGCACGCTGAACGCTCGGCCCTGACAGGCTTTCTGGGACGCTTCTGCCAGAAGGGATTCCGCGGCAAACCCTCAGGCAGCACGATACGCCGTGTTGCCACGTTAGAAGACCGTAAGCTCATTTCCCAAGGAAAAGAGGGGGCAGGGAAAACTGCAGCACCTTTCTGTGCTCAGCCACACTTGCAGATTGCATTCAGGATAGGATCAGGATTAAAATCTTTGCCCGAAGCCTGTTAGCATAAACCCCAGAGAGAATCGATGCACAAAAGAGAAGCAGCAAGCTTCAACCATTCAAGCTGGGCTAAAACAAATGCATGAAACACAAATACTCTGAAAGGAAACTTAACAAGAGCAACGGTTTTGCTTTTATAACAATAAACTGCTTTTTAATTGGTTTCTTTTTTATTTTTTTTCATAAATAAACTGCTGCTACTACAATAAAATAACTTCTTACCTCTGCTCCACAAAACCAAAAGAGAAACAAGAAAACTGGGACTGCTCGCATGATGAAATTTTATCTCTTTGTACACAAATTCCTCTGGCTGGGATTCTTTTGAATGCCAGTTGTTAGATTTGTGTCTAATTTTTAACCATTAGTAAAATACTTTGAAGCGTGTTTAGAAATAAAGTATAGGCGCCTCACCTCTCCAAAAGGATCCCGCCTCAATTTAACTGGTTTTACTGTAAGTGCAAGGCAGAGAGTCAGTAAATGATTAAAAGGAAGCACTTATTAAGGGTGCACATTTCCTTTCTTTTGCCAGGGGAGGCCCATCGAGTCATCACGCTGGTTCTCCTGATTGCAGCTGCTCGTCTTTGCCAGGTTATGGTGAAAGACAAATGGTTTTATAGGAGAGATACATATGAAATTCTTCCCGGAGAGGGTGGGGAGGCACAGGGACAGGTTGCCCAGAGAAGCTGTGGATGCCCCATCCCTGGGAGTGTCCAAGGCCAGGCTGGATGAGGCTTGGAGCAACCTGGTCTAGTGGAAGGTGTCCCTGCCCATGGCAGGGGGGTGGGACTGGGTGGTCTTCAAGGTCCCTTCCAACCCAAACCATTCTGTGATTCTATGATGACAAGTCAAAAAGCACCCTTTTTTTTCTAAGGTGAAAAGGTCCATTCCGTACCCAGCGGGATTACAAGCTCACGTGACCCCACGTGTATAAAGAACTTTCAAATACTTGACAAATGCTCGAGTTTCTTCTGAAGCTTTAATAGAGCAGCAGAACCCAGGCAGCCTCGTCCCCACACGGCCCGGGGGTGCAGGCAGAGCCGCTCCCCGTCCCCTCCCGGCACTGGCGCTCCCTCATGGCGTCCCGGATGGTCAGTCGTCCTTTACGCTCCGTTTGCGACAGTGCCCTTTCCTTTACGGCAGGCAGCCTCATTTCCGGCAGCGGGGCGCGCTGGGACGTCAGCGGCCGGCGGCGGCGGGAC